GGGATTTGGGGGGTCCCAGAGGGGCTTTGGGGGGTCCTGAAGGTATTGGGGGCGTCCTGAGGGGCTTTGGACGGTTCTGAGGGGATTTGGGGGGTCTCATTGGGATTTGAGGGGTCCTGAGGGGATCTGGGGGGTCCTGAGGGGATCTGGGGGTCCTGAGGAGATCTGAGGGGGGTCTCGGTGGGATTTGGGGGGTCTCAATGGGATTTGAGGGGTCCCAGAGGGGCTTTAGGGTGTCCTGAGGGGATCTGGGGGGTCTCACTGAGATTTCGGGGGGTGGGGAAGGGTTTTGGGGGTGGTCCTAGAGAGATTTGAGGGGGGATTTCTATTTTTGGGGTAAATCTCTAATTTTGGGGAGGGATCTGTAATTTGGGGGGAGAAAGTTGTCATTTTGAGTGGCTAAACTTTTAATTTTGGAGTGAATCCTCTCATTTTTGAAGTAAATCTTTTGAATTTAGGGCGGGATCTGTAATTTTGGGGTGAATTTTTCATATTTTGGGTTGAATCTTTAAGCAGAGGGGCAGAGTCTCTAATTTTGGGGCAGAATTCTAAGTTTTTGAGAGAAATCTTTCATTTTATGGGATAAATCTCTAATTTTGGGATAAATCCATCTGATTGCGAACCAAATCTCTGAGTTTTGATTTAAATATTTAAATTTAGAACGAATCTTTAATTTTGAGGAGTGGGATTTTTAATTTTGTGCCAAATTCCTCATTTTTGGGGTCTTTTCCAGGGGCCTGATCTCGGAGCAGCCCAACGAGGACCTTTTCTTCCTGGACACCGGCAGCACCCCCAAAAGTGAGATTTTTCCCCCTAAATTTTGGTTTTTTGGGGTGCCCTGACCCCCCCCTCAGGATTTTGGGGTGCCCTGACCCCCCCAAACCCCCCCAGGCCGGCCCCTGAGGAAGAAGAAGCCCCCCCAGAAGCCCCTGCACGTGGACCTGGTGCTGCAGCCCCTCTCCAAGGTGCCTCCCCCCAAAAAGTGAGTCTGGGGGCTTCGGGGGGGGCTCTTCCCCCACAAAAATGTGCTTTGGGTGGGGTTACACCACAAAAATCCCCCCCAGGACCCCCCAAATCCCCTTCAGGATCCCCCTAGGGCTCCCCAAATCCCCATCAGGGACCCCCAAAATCTCCCCAGGATCCCCAAAATCTCTTTGGGATCCCTCAGGGACCCCCAGAATTCCCTCAGAACCCTCCAAATCCCCCTCAGGACCCCC